GAGCAGGAATACAGCAGCGGGAGTGGGAGAGGGAGAGCAGGCTTCCCGCCGAGGAGGGAGCCCGATGTGGGACTCGATCCCAGGACCCTGGGATCATGACCTGAGCCAAAGGCAGATGCTTAACAACTGAGCCACCCAGACATCCCTAGTTTTTTATATATTTTACATACTAACCCTTTATCAGATATGTCATTTGCAATCATCGTCTCCCATGCAGTAGGATTTCCTCAGGATTCTCTCAAATGCCGGGATTTTATTCTCTCATACTACAATCTCAAAGCGTTGGGAGAGGATAGGAAGATGGGAAGGGGTGTTACAATGTTATTTCAAGATTTCTCTCCAACTCTCTTACTGAACAAACAAAACAACCTGACCCTCAACTGCACCATCTTCCTTCATCTAGTCATTCTTCTTCATTCATGGATAACCTCTTTTTTTTTTTTTAAAGATTTTTTTATTTATTTTTTGACAGAGAGAGAGACAGCAAGAGAGGGAACACAAGCAGGGGGAGTGGGAGAGGGAGAAGCAGGCTTCCTGCGGAGCAGGGAGCCCACTGTGGGGCTCGATCCCAGGACTCTGGGATCATGACCTGAACCAAAGGCAGAAGCTTAACGACTGAGCCACCCAGGCGCCCAAAATTTTAACCGTGTAGTACTTGAAAGTATTAGGCGGATCAGCAAGATAATGCAAAATTTTAAATATTTCACCTACGTGGGATAAAGTAATCCCAGAAATTCTAAAAGAAATCACTTTGACCTTGTGACCACCTGAACCATCAACATCATGCCTCCTGTGGTTGTTTGTATTGAGCCTTAAGACTGTATTTCCTTTAAGTTCTCCATATCCTGGGGACATAAATAATTGTTAAAAAGGTATAGTATAAAACAGATTCAGTATGGGTCTGATTGATTAAATGTGATTTTTTTTTTCCTCTGCCACTAAAACAGTAGGTATTAAATATTCTGCTAATTACCTAAGTACCTTCCAAAGCCTTTTCATAAACCTGTCTGGGAGGAATTTATTCTAAACAGAGTAATCCTTAAAGCTAAAAACCCCAAATCAGTATGCATATCAATGGGCAAACCCATCGTCTAAGGATTATAGAATTAAAACACCCAATACAATGAGAAAACGTGGTACTTTATTCCTTATTTATCCTTAGTTTGTAGGTAAATCCTTGATTTCTTTTGCAGCTTAGTCTAATATGAATGTTATATTAAAGAAAACAGATTTTCATCATAGATTTTTTTTTGTCCTATACTTTTAAAGATTTTTATCATTCTAACTATAGCATCTGTTTTCTAAAAGTATCTCTGAAAAGGAAATACCATACATAAGCAGAAAAAAAAATTGTCATCACAATTGTGTGGTCAGATTCTGTTTGTAAATCAGCATAAGAACTTTTCAGCTTTTCTTATTGATGGCCCATACAAGGAGGGTAAAATGTATTTTTTTACATTAATTTGCATCAATAATGGCTACAAATAAATATAACCTCACAAGCAAATATAGTTTCCAAGAATATATTTTGGTGATAAAGCAAAGAACAAATGCTGATAACATAAGGACACATTAACTTTGACTGTAATTATCAATACTTAAATTCATGCTCTTTTCTCAGAGGATAGTTCATTTTGCCATAATTAGATATTTTTAAATTTATATATTAAAATTTAAACTTTTGCTGGTTTTGGTCATCTTTTGCATTTTATTTTTTTTAATTTTTTTTTCATTATTTCCTTCATTTTGTTTTTATTATAGCATGTTTGCTTAATTTACAGCAAGCAGAAAATAAGCTGGGTCTTGTTTTGATCCAAACATTGATGTTTTAAAGGCTGTACACAATATTTGTTAAAAAGAACATATAAAAGTACCTTTTTAGAAGCTTCTATAAGAAAGAAAATACAAAGTTTAACCCCACAACTTTCCTCTTTGCTAGAACTGCAAACTACTGCTACAGTTTTAAATAGACTTCTTGTTGTTTAAACTATACATCCCCGAAAATCTAAAAAATTAAAGAAACGTGCATATAAATGATTGCATAGCAGAACATGAATATTAACTGCAAACAGTAAAGAAATGAAAGTTAGAAATACTATCAAATATACAAAGGTTCTAGAATCAATCCTTTAAACACATTCCACAAACAGTATTTAAAAACCATCTTTTGTTCTACAGGCAAGGCCTACTAAAACCAAAATTGAAAAAAAGTAATCCTATAAAAGGAATCGTTTCCCCACAATATTTCTTACTTATACCTGCAAGCAAGCAATCTAAATATTTTAAAGATGCTAGCTTTTATTCTGAAATGAGATTGGACGTTTCCCTTTTATTGCTCCCCCCAAACGATCTCTCAGAGAAATGCTAGAAATTATAAATGGTTAGGGTCTTGTTTTCTTTTTTAGTCAGGTACTGCCAGGTACTGTACATTGATAATCAAACACAGAGATGTGACTCTTAATTAATCTTTTTCCAAAATATTTTAAATTCATGGCACCACAGAATCACCTAGAATGGGAGTGTTCTCTTTCAACTTGCCTCACATGAAATAAGCTGAGGTGTGAAGGACAAGCCTCCTTCATAAAGTGGTAGGCAAATTTTGATACAAATGCACAGGCTGAGTGTTACAAGCATCAAAATTCAGTTCTTTTACACTATGCATATGCATAAACAAAATCTACTTGAAACAGTTTACTTGCTGCTTTTTAACAGCAGTAAGAAAACTAAGCAATATGACCAACTTTGTTCCTTAAAGTTGAGAGTAACTACATGAGAGCATTTTTTCCCCTTAAAATTATTTCTGCCATCATTGACCTGCTCAAATTTTAAGGTGAGTTCTTCTGATGTTTATATGTTCCAAATCTTCAAAGAAACCAGAAAAAAGCAGTGAAGGCTCCATGTTTCAGTCAAAAACTCAATCTTTCCCCAAATCCTACTTAACCCAGTTGGCATCATTCCCCAAGATAGTGGGGTTAACAAAAGAACTATTCCACGCTCTGTTATAAATTAACTATTATCACAGGCCTAGACATCTTAACAAGACAAAAAGGTCCACCCTGAACCTAAATGTGTCTGATCAGTCAGTGTTGTACTGTGGCTACAACTTCACTTTTGTATCATTCTATCTTATTAGCAAGCTACATTTCTAGTTAACAGTTCTACCAAATATGGATATGAAAGTTTATTTTTAATAAGACAATGTTGCAAATTATGGTCAACCAACATCTTTTCACCAATACTTCAAGCATAAAAAATGAGAATCTTTACAAAAATATACAGAGACACCACAAATTGGTAGCTGCCCATAACATTAAACAAACTGGACTCTTAAGAGTGGCTTCTCAACAGCATATCATTTTAATTATAACCATTTGCCTGGTACAGGGAAAACTGACAAGTGTTTTTTAAGCATCATTGCAATATTGTATTCCTGATAATTTAAGTAAACCAAACTATGAGTAAATGAATGATACATGACTAAAAATATCAAGGTTTATACTATCAGTGGCCACTGGACTTAGGACTAGTCCAAAACCTTGATCTAGATTTTGACCTAGACCTAGATTGTGATCTTGACTGAGATTTGGATCTAGGTGGTTCTTTTTTCCTTGATTCCTTTTCATATCTTGAGCCAGACTTATAATGTGTTTTGGAATCTGTTTTAGAGGTGCCTCTAGTTTTGGTGTGAGATGCAGACCTAGAATGTGATTTAGCCTTCATTTCTTTCTTGGGCTGGGACTTGGACCGTGATCTTGAATTGGATTTAGATCTTGAAAAAGATCGATTTCGGTGTTTGAATCTATCATTGTCGGAATGGCTTCTGCTACACCGTGGTCTTCCAGCCGGTCTACTGTTTCTAGGACTATAAGATCTTCTATAGTTGTAATCAAAGGACCGGCTTGATCTTCTTTCATAACTCCGGCTTCTAGAACGTCTGTATCTGTCATAATCATCATAGCGTGAAGAGCCGTATACATTCCTCCCTTCCTTGGCTTTCATTTGATTTGGAGTCTTCCGATCCCCCTGTGCAAACTGTATTTCAGTTTGGCGTCCACAAATCCATTTTCTGTCCAAATTATGTAAAGCATCTTTGGCATCACGGACATCCTCAAATTGAACATAAGCAAATCCTCTTGGACGGCGCGTGTAGAAATCAAGTAGAACGTACACATCAACTATAGGACCATAACGACCAAATTCTCTTCGTAAATCTTCAGACCTGGTGTCGTCAGCCACGTTCCTTACGAACAAAGATGTGTTGGGGGGGAGGTGCAGGTAGAGGGACACGACGGCAACGTGAGTCTCGGCAGGGGTACTAACGGGCTCAGTAAAGCATCCGCAGATCCGGCGCCGCATCCTCAGACCCATCTTTTGCATTTTAAAATAATGGTGTCCCTTTTAAAATCTAGAGCATTTTTGCTAGACCCCATTAGAAAGCTACCCCTAACTTAAAAAAATTTTTTTTTGTTAAAGATTTTATCTGTTATTTATTTTAGAGAGCAAGGGAGAGAGCATGAGCAGGGGGAGGGGCAGAGGGAAAGGGAGAGAATCTCAGGTGGACTCCACACAGCACAGAGCCTATCACGGGGCTCCATCTCATGATTCTGAGACCATGACCTGAGCCAAAACCAAGAGTCAGACACTTAACCAGCTGAGCCACCGAGGCACCCCTAACTTTTTAAAAAAAATTTAGTTATAGGGCGCCTGGGTGGCTCGGTTGGGCGGCTGCCTTCGGCTTGGGTCATGATCCTGGAGTCCCGGGATCCAGTCCCGCATCGGGCTCCCTGCTCGGCGGAGAGTCTGCTTCTCCCTCTGACCCTCCCCCCTCTCATGCTCTCTCTCTCTGTCTCATTCTCTCTCTCAAATGAATAAATAAATAAAATCTTTAAAAAAGTTTAGTTATAATAAATTGAGTTCATCCATTTATTTCACTTGTTTAAGAATAAAGTCTATATTTACATTACCCAAAATATACTAAAAATACTGTTATTTCATTCCAGATCAGAGATACTAAGTCAGCAGATCAAAAAACAACCCTCTTGCACTTTATTGCTGAAATTTGTGAGGAAAAATACCGGGATATCCTGAAATTTCCTGAAGAGCTGGAACATGTAGAAAGTGCAAGCAAAGGTAATTGATTAGTAACTATTTGAGACTATTTATTATATTTTAAGTGGTAAGATTAAATAAACATTAATTTTTCTGTTTACTGATATTTGAAAAGCAGGAAGATCGTTTCCATTAGCTTATATTTGATAGTGTAGCACATTTAATGACCTATTTTTTACTTACTTTATCTTTTAACATTGCTAGGTTATTGACGCTTTCACATCTCTGATCTGATAGTATGTTCATTCATTCATTTCATAAATACTTAAATATATATTGTTTACAAGGGAAGTATACCATGGGCTTTTGATGATATCAAAATGATTGTGAGTTCTTGCTTACAAATTTTCTAAATGTTCTATTATTCCACATTAATTACATGTTAGTAAATATGACTGTAGTCACAAATGTGTGTTGTTAAATCGAAGAGCCAAGATATAGAAGTTCTGTAGAAAAGCAATTGCCAGAGAGCTGCTGCTATACTTATAGTGAGTATAATTTTACATCATATCTTAAAGGTTTTTTTTTTTTAATAAAGAAAATAATAGTACTATGGAGACATACTCCGTTTCCTATTGTTATTCTGGTCCTGGAACCACAAAATGAGACACACTGGATTAAATTAAAGAAATACATTGAGGGTTTGATTGATAATACCAGACCAGCGGAGATGACCATTGAACAATATTATTTTTTTTCAAAGATTTTATTTATTTATTTGGGGGAGAGGGGCAGAGGGAGAGGGAGAGAGAGAGAGAGTCTTTTTTTTTTTTTAAGATTTTATTTATTTATTTGAGAGAGAGAGAATGGGAGACAGAGAGCATGAGAGGGAGGAGGGTCAGAGGGAGAAGCAGACTCCCCGCCGAGCAGGGAGCCCAATGCGGGACTCGATTCCGGGACTCCAGGATCATGACCTGAGCCGAAGGCAGTCGCTTAACCAACTGAGCCACCCAGGCGCCCGAGAGAGAGAGAGTCTTAAGCAGACTCCACACTGAGTCCAGAGCCCAACGCAGGGCTAAGATCATGACCTGAGATGAAACCAAGAGTCAGAAGCTTAACCAACTGAGCCACCCAGGTGCCCTCACCACTGAACATTATTATACAAACAGTATTCTGGGTTTTATAGACATGCAGTTTCTCCCCTTTAATGAACACTAACAGGTTTATAAGGCTTGTAAGAAACTTGGAAAAGGTATATGCTTTTGAGTCCTTACTGAAAGTCCTTAGAGTTATAGAGAAATGGAAAATTTGTAATTGGAAACATGAGAAATGTCACAAATAAAGACAATTATTAGATCATTTCAGTGCTATCACTACTTTTTAATTGCCCTTTGGGGGAATTTTTTTCTAAGTTTTATTTGTTTAATACGTAGATTCAATTTCAGAAAGATTTTGAGAGTTCTATCAAGAATATGTTTAAATAAAATTATCTGTCAATTTTATGATGATTTTTAATTCCTAATTTTTAAATTTTCAATTCTTACGTTGAGGATACTTTACATGAATATATCCGATAAACATTTTTAGTCATAATAATCTGGAACAACTGTAATGAAATGTAGAATGAAGCTTACATCAGCTTTGAATTTTAAGTCTAAATACTAGCTTATCTATATTTCCATATTATATATCTATGTCTATATAATTTCATACACACTCTTAGCCACTATTGCTATTGATGAAGTCAGCTTATAGTGGACAGCCTTCTGAGTTAGGTATTATAAAGTTCTATTCCTAGCTATATAACTTCTTGGTTCTATAACCTTGAGCTAGTAATTTAAACTTCCAAGTTTTTGTTTCCTCATCTGTAAAATGGGAATGATAGTAACAAGATCACATGAGTTGACATGTTTAAAGCATTCAATAAAAGGCTTGGCACATAGTATGTGGCTGTTGCTATACCACTATCTGTATAGTAGTAGTCATAATATTGATATACTACTATGAATATTGTAGTTGCTGCTATTGTCTTGTTAGAAGGGGATAATGAAAAGGGTGCCTATGGTTCCTATAATCTCAGCTAGCTATGTATTATATCCAGTTCTATTTGTTTCCTGTGTCTGGGCTTTTGGTAAATACTTTCATATTTTTATTTTACACTATCACCAACTTCTTTCTCCCTATCTATGTCAAGAGCAAAATCTCTCAGTTACATTTTGATTATTTCTGCTTTTCTGTATTCTTCTTGCCAGTGTTTTCAAAAGACTGTTGCCAGAAATCATCTTACTGTCTCACTGTTAGGGCCACAGCAATACCCACTCTCAAGTTATTTTGTCTAGTTCTTTTTCTTTCCCTATGAAATTCAGTCTCAGCTCAAATTCTTAAGCGCATTCCACCTGCTTGCATCCCTCTTTCATTTCCTCCTAGGTCTCATTTCAGTGTGCCGAGACATATATTCTCTTGAGCCGTTTTATTCCTTTCTGATAGTCCTGCCTCTGTATGATTTCATGCTGCATCCCATGCCTAGAAATCTCACCAGCCCTGTCCTCTAAGACAACTGACTATCACTTGTAAAATTCCTGTTCAGAATCCATTTTTAAAAAATGTTTTGCTACTAGAGCCCCAGGAAGAAATACTCTGGAATTTAGTCTACAGGGGAAAAAAACGAAACAGGGTGAAAGGTCAAGCCAGTTACCTCTTATTTATAGTTAAATACTTTTCCTTGATATTTGAGTCTAACTTGTCTTATTAGCGTAATATACAGTTCAGTCTTGTTTGAATCACATTCTGTTACCCCTAGTACTGCACATAGCATGTATACAGTCAACCAGCAAAAATACATATAGATCAATACTATATAATCAATTTTATTTGATGATGGACTGTCTTGATGTGAAATGTTCACCTTCAAAAATACAAAAAGTACCTTTCTTTTCAAACTAGAGGGATATTGATAAGATGAAACTAATTAAGTTAATGATTGAATTATAGAAGTTCATATTTTTTGAGATTTATTCATTTATTTGAGAGAGAGAGAGAGTGAAAGAGAGCGGGGGAAGGGGCAGAGGGAGAGAGAATCTCAAGCCGATTCCACGCTGAGTGTGGAGCTTGACACAAGGCTCGATCTCATGACCCTGAGATCATGACATGAGCTGAAATCAAGAGTCAGGTGCTTAACCGACTGAGCGACCCAGGTGCCCCTATAACTTATACTTAGAGAACAACTGTATGACTATTCATAGCTTTTTTCTGTGTTTTTGGATTTTTGGAACCCAAGTATCAATTTTGATAACATAGAGATCTTTTCTTCTGGTATAGCAATTAAATTTATTTCAGTTGAGTAGTAGAGTTATAGGCCTCTAACTGACAAAAAAATGCCTTAAAGTGAAAGGAAAACTGAAGGTAGGAAATATATGTGATCTGTGGAAAAATTTATTTTATAATCATGTTTATTCTTTAGCTAAGCTTCTAAAATTGTGTGTATCTTTGAATATGCAAAACTATGGTAAAACTTAGCCTATCTTCTTAGAGCTCTGTTAAAGATATTGGGGGAAAACATCATTTTCACATTAAAACATATATATCATGAAACAATTCAAAATCCACATGAATTTTTAAAAATAAAACAGATGGCTTCAAAGAAATTTCACACTTGCAATAGATCCCTAAGGGTGTGTGTTCAATCTTCTCTTCCATTTGGAGTACTTGGGTGAGAAAAGTTCATGAAGCATTGCCTAAAGAATGATACAATGGTTTTGTTTTGGTTTGGTTTCACTTATTTATCTATTTAGGTTTTACCAGGAGCAGGGAGGGAAGCAGGCAGGGTAAGGGAGTAGTAGAGTACCTAACTTTCTTCTAAATAGACATTCTCATATCCCTTATGAAGTTGAGCATCAAATACTACAGTGTAATTTTATTACAAGTGAAATTAATAAAATAATATTGCTCTGGTCATTTTATTTTAGATTAAATTAAAAATCTGCAGGTCGTCTCATTTACATTTGACATACCAATGAGCCTTTGGAGAGAAAAAAAAATGGTTGCTATAGAAACTCTGATGCCTTTAAAATATTTAAAATACTTTTTGTAAAAGATTTTATTTTTTTATTTGAGAACCAGAGTGACAGAGAGCACAGGCAGTGGGGAAGGGGAGAGGGAGAGGCAGACTCCCTGCTGAGCAGGGAGCCTGATGCGGAGCTCGATCCCAGGACTCTGGGATCATGACCTGAACCGAAGGAAGACTCTTAACTGACTAAGCCACCCAGGTACCCCTAGAATACTTTTGATAAACCAAATTACCTTTCCCCTGATGATTAGTTTTAAAGATTGTGTGTGTGTTTATTTTGTGTGCATAATTATATATATAATAGATATATAGATATAGTATAAAGCATTGCTGGTTTACTAGACATATTTTATAAATTTCTTTATTGTTTTCCCTACCACTGTGGCTATCACTTTAACTTTGAGCTTTATGGATTTTTACAGTTTGATTTAAAACCTCTATTGTTTTATGGGTTGGCTGCAGGGATTAAACCAAAAGAGTTAGTAAAGTTTAATTAAAACTATTCCACTCAACAGGGAAAAATTATATTAATGTATTTGAAAGCACTATTAATCCTAAGGTTTCACATAAATATGAAATGGGTTTCACTTCAGTTAAATTAGTGCCATCCTACAAAATAAAAGCTGTCAAGTTTCCTATAAAGTGTTTATTTCTTATGAATTAAATCAATTATAAATTTTTATGACCAACAATACCTTTTGATATCTGCCATCTTTCCATTGTCATATTAGTAACTCTGATTAGCTATTTATCTACTCTGACTTCTTTATAAAAAGTTCAGACTAGAAGAAATGTTGTAGGGAAAATAAAAAGGGGGCACCGGGGTGGCTCAGTCAGTTGGGCATCTGCCTTGGGCTCGGGTCATGATCCCAGGGTCCTGGGATTGAGCCCCACATCAGGCTCCCTGCTAAGCGGGGAGCCTGCTTCTCCCTCTGCCTCTGCTGCTCCCCCTGCTTGTGCTCTCTCTCTCTCTCTGTCAAATGAATAAATAAAATCTTTAACAAAGAAAAATCAT